ACATACATACATACATACATACATACATACATACATACATACATACATACATACATACATACATACATACATACATACATACATACATACATACATACATACAAACATGCATACAAACATGCATACATACATACATACATACATACATACATACATACATACATACATACATACATACATACATACATACATACATACATACATACATACATACATACATACATACATACATACATACATACATACATACATACATACATACATACATACATACATACATACATACATACATACATACATACATACATACATACATACATACATACATACATACATACATACATACATACATACATACATACATACATACATACATACATACATACATACATACATACATACATACATACATACATACATACATACATACATACATACATACATACATACATACATACATACATACATACATACATACATACATACATACATACATACATACATACATACATACATACATACATACATACATACATACATACATACATACATACATACATACATACATACATACATACATACATACATACATACATACATACATACATACATACATACATACATACATACATACATACATACATACATACATACATACATACATACATACATACATACATACATACATACATACATACATACATACATACATAAAAACATGCATACATACATACATACATACATAATAATAATGCTGGTACTGCGTACTGCTGTTTACCACCAGAAAGAAAAGCCATATATATATATATATATATATATATATATATATATATATATATATATATATATATATATATATATATATATATATATACCATCGTCCCCATTCGTTTCCTCAAGGCTGGGCAGGTTCCAAAAGGTAAGGTAAACAAAAACGCATTCGCTCCATCTACACACACACATAAATTAATGCAAACTACTTGATGTGAATTTTTTTTTTTCAATTTCAGACTATCAAACCCGACGACGTAAGCGATTTGATCTATTTGTGTTATTTTCTCCACGCTACTGTTAAATAAAATTACAAAAATTGAGAGACTAACAGATGAGTAAACTCTCATTAGGACATACGAAACCATAAACGGATTACTTCAAATAGACGCAGACCGTCAGTGTTTTTTTGTTCTATAAAAGTTGTTATGTGATGGCAGAGAGTCGAAAAACTTCGTGACCACTGTAAATATTCATGAAAAGCTGTCAATGGGCTGCAAAGAGATGAATGAATACCAAGATAGCGTGGCGATATGTGTGGCGAAGACAAAGCCCCACTCATTGTCCAGTGTGCATGTGAAAATGCAAAACAGGCCAACGTATGCTAATTGGCACGATAATTGATAAAGATGATTGAAAACTCCAATGTGGGTATCAGATACAATGTAGCGGAAGTTTGTATCGGAAGTGGTTGGGTTAATTTCTAAGAGAAAGATTTAGAGTTATGTCATGGATGAGGGAGCAGAAAGCAACTCACTCATTGATATTGAGAGACTCGGTAAGCATGCTTAATGTTGAAACCGGAAATATCCGACTAGAATGGGTTGACAGTAACCACAAGTCCATCGTCTACTGGTGTGAATGGAAAGGAAAGAGCCGAAAGGCTGGCCATGTCTGCCTTGGCTGGTGGAGGAAGAAGTAAGGACAGGGCTGACATACAGACTGCTCTGCGTTCTTGAGACTTTCAGATGAAATTGGGAGAGACAAGGAACAGCAAGTGGAAACCGGTTGCAGGACAAAGCAAAAAAAGCAGACCAGAAACTCGTACTGGGTAGCAACAAATCTGTGAGTCGTGCACATAAAGTAACATGTTAAATTGCTATGTGTAGCTTAACCTAAATACCGTAAAGATCTAGATGTTCTCATAGAATTTTATTATGTATCTGTTTAACGTTACTGCATATATGAAGATGACTAACAGAATAGGGATAAAAAAAAATTTAAATATAATTTCAGCTACTCGGATCACAAAGCGTAAGTATTCAAACATAAGCTTGAGTGTTGTCTCAACAAATTGTCACCCACCACAGTCTAGCCAACATTATTCAAGTATAAGCTTGAGTGTTGTATCAAAAAAGTGTCACTCACAACAGTCTAGCCAACATTAGTCAGTCAAAAGCTTGATTGTTGTCTGAACAAACATGTCACCGCCCCTGTCTAGTCAACATTTTTAAGTCATAAGCTTAATTGTTGTCTGAAAAAACGTGTCGCTGAAACAGTCTAGCCAACATTTTTTAGTCCTAAGCTTGGGTTTTGTTTGAACAAACGTGTCACCACCACAGTCTAGCCAACATTATTCAGTCATAAGCTTGAGTGTTGTCTGAACAAACGTGTCACCGCCACAGTCTAGCTAAAATTATTCAGTCATAAGCTTGAGTGTGGTCTCAACAACTCTCACTGTAGTTAGTAGAGGTTCATAGTTGCCAATGTGCTGTTTAATTGTATGGCGAACCTCTTCATTTGAAATGTTGTCTCTGTATAATATGCAACGAATTTTTCTGAAACATCTCACTTCTAATGCTTGTATCCTTCTTTCTTGTTCTTTGTGTCCACTAGCTGTAAACTCTGGTGAAAAGTTCTGGTTGCTCGTCCACTTCTGGACTGCAGTCCTTTTCCAGAACCTGAGTGTAAGATCTGACACATTTGTGTGCACATTGTTTTTTCTTGCCTCTCAGGCAGATGCACACCGACTTTGAAGGAAGCTCCCAATTAGTCGACTTTTACGACATGCTTTCGTTTCCCCTATAATAAGGCCCCGGAACCCACACGGGGGGATATCATTCTTTTAAGTTTAGCTGTAAAGGTCCATGTATTACAGCGATAAGTAAATGTACCAATAGCTAGTGTTGTGAGCAATCAAATCTTAGTTTCACATTAAATGTATTTGGATCTCCATAATGTTTGCTGCTTGGCAAGGATTGATGTTGTCTGGGCAATCGTAGACATTATTTCTGATCTTAACTCCAAGTCCCAGCCTAAAATGGGTACCAGGATGGCTGTCCTGGGGAGGTAAAGACGGCAGGCTTTATGCTAACCACATTACCCATCCAGTGCCGATTCGTCTGTAAAAATATTGGACGCTCTTCCCAAATACCCGATGCGTCTAAGGAGTGAAAAGGGATCTTTACTTCACTTTCCAAGTCCATTAAATAGATCCTAAAAATTTGAAATGAGTAATTTGTTCTAATTTGTCGCCTTTAACGTAGATTTGCGAAATTCTGCCAGCTGGATTATTAGTCATTACTTTTGTTTTTTTCTGCGTTTATTTCCTTCCCATACTTAGTTGATGTTTCATCGAGTAGATTTACAAGCTCGACTAGCTCTTGCTCTTTTCCGGCCAACCCATCGATGTCATCTGCAAAACCTCAAGTTTGTTATATTTTGACCTCCGATACTAACAGTTTAAAGATATTGTTCTAAGGCATTAGTCATAATTATTTCTATAATGATATAAAACAGTGTTTGAGTGAGAAGGCAGCCCTGCCAAACTCCTACTGTTGTTCGGAACCAGCTTCCTATTTGACAGCACTGCTGGCCTAGGCATAGAGATGTTCTTTAGTACCTATGAGGGTTTTACCCATGTTGTACTTTTTCATAGTGTCCCAGTGCTGCATGCCATACTCTATCAATGGCCTTTTTGAAACCAATGAACACATGGTATAGATGTTTTTAGTGCGTGTGGTATTGCTCAGATAATATACGTAGATGAAACATCTGTTCAAAAGTGCTTCTTCCAGCACACGAACACGCCTGTTCCTCTGCTTTGATCTTTTCTGCATGTGGCACTAATGTTTGTGCAACATGCATACATACATATACAAAAGACTACATTGGCCGACAAAGACCAATTTCTGAGGCTAACATGATTACATGCCCTCAGAGGGAAGCCTAGCGAAGCAGGGCCTGTACTGACTTTGTGGTCAAGACACTGTAATAAATGTCATATGCGAACAATCAGCAGGTGTTTACTGGTGTTCTTGTTGCATCAAAGACTGTGCCCACGAAAATGCCCAATGTACTTTGATGTTGTTTGTGAATATATAGAATAACATGACTTTAAAACAGACAGACAGGCAAAAGTGCTTTAACAAAATGCATGTACATGTAATTTTCATTGCAGAGCCTTCTCACGCACGCAGTGAGTATTAATGACACTCATTTAATAATCATATTAAATATTTTTTTTTTTCCATATATTTTTTTTCTTTACGTAAACCAAATGTAGCGATATTTGCAGAGAGAAACATAAACGAAATATAGCAGTGGAATGCGATCACATTAAACAAGCATCAGATTTCAAATAACGGGGAACAGCTTTTGAAGGAAATTGTAAATTAGATAAAACAAATACATTTTCCATGCAGTAATGCAAAACCAAGTATTAAAATAGTTAGCCCCCCCCCCCCCCCCCCGCCTTTTTTTTCCCCTTATAATTCGAGACAATCCTAAACAGCACACAGAAATACCTCAAAGAAAGAATCTCCATTACAATTCTATACTTTCAGTGTCAGGCATGGTCACTAACAACAAACCCGAAGAGAACATTAGCAACAATGAAAACGGATGTCTGAAAAGGGAAGCAGCAGTGATCAGAAAGATAATATAAGAAAGGAGATCGCAAGAGAACTAACTTGCACAGAATCAATTCTACATTCCATACAAAGAAAGCAAATCAAACTGTTTCTAACACTCATACAGTACCCTGTGACTTGAATATGGTAGAAAGCATAAACAAAAAGAGAAGGATGTCCATCAGCGGCGGGTCACTCACTGGGTGGCCAGTAGACGACTTCGTCGCCTGTAGGGACAATATTTGGGTCTGTCTGCTTTGATCGCCTTACCACTGCGAGAGTTCTTTTCAGAGCTACTTGGTGGCAAGTAATGCTAATCCATTTTATAAAGCACGGAGAACCTAGTCACAATTATAACCTAAAGCTCCCCCTTTGGGGATGCTAGTTGAGCGTGACGATTTTTTTTTTCGCATAGCAAGCCAAGAGAAGGAGGTAGAGCACTATGTAAGCCAAGAGAAGGAGGTAGAGCACTATGTAAGCCAAGAGAAGGAGGTAGAGCACTATGTAAGCCAAGAGAAGGAGGTAGAGCACTATGTAAGCCAAGAGAAGGAGGTAGAGCACTATGTAAGCCAAGAGAAGGAGGTTGAGCACTATGTAAGCCAAGAGAAGGAGGTTGAGCACTATGTAAGCCAAGAGAAGGAGGTTGAGCACTATGTAAGCCAAGAGAAGGAGGTTGAGCACTATGTAAGCCAAGAGAAGGAGGTAGAGCACTATGTAAGCCAAGAGAAGGAGGTAGAGCACTATGCAAGCCAAGAGAAGGAGGTAGAGCACTATGTAAGCCAAGAGAAGGAGGTAGAGCACTATGTAAGCCAAGAGAAGGAGGTAGAGCACTATGTAAGCCAAGAGAAGGAGGTAGAGCACTATGCAAGCCAAGAGAAGGAGGTAGAGCACTATGTAAGCCAAGAGAAGGAGGTAGAGCACTATGTAAGCCAAGAGAAGGAGGTAGAGCACTATGCAAGCCAAGAGAAGGAGGTTGAGCACTATGTAAGCCAAGAGAAGGAGGTTGAGCACTATGTAAGCCAAGAGAAGGAGGTAGAGCACTATGTAAGCCAGGAGAAGGGCGTAGAGCACAATGTAAACCAAGAGCAATGGAAGATAACATCAGACTCTACAACAGCACCATGTAAACAAAGAGCAATGAAAGATAACTATGTGTCAGTTGTTGAGGTGGTCAGAGAAGTCGACTGACTGACTTTCTACCCCACCAGGACATCACACAAGCGATAAACACCCGATGACACAGAGTTCCACCATGTGGATGAGGATCACCGTGGAGAGGTCACAGAAACCGCGTTCAGTAATTAGGCCATATTTATGGCCTGGCTATATTGCGGCCCCTGGCAAGAGCCAGGGTGGGGCTTCAAATCATCCTAAAAAGGACTGTGAACACAATTAGCCAGAAAAGTAAGAAAAAGAACCTTTTATCTCCCTCGACACTTAAAGCGGTAAAAGAGGAAGCGAACAAGAAGAGGGAAACATTCTGCAAAATAATTTTTATCAGTACCGTCAACTTCAGCGATACTAAAGGCAGGACCATACTTCTATATTCAAAACATACAAATATTAACATGGCCTAATTTACATAAATACGAGTAGATACATAAACTTAACGAACCCTTCGTGCCTTTGTGTATATGTGATTGCCATATTTTATTGAACAACAGAACTCAGTGGAAAAAAATCTTACAGGCCGTCTTTACTTCCCATGACTTCACCTGGTACCCATTTCAGACTGGATCGAACTAGGAGTCCAAGGTCATTAGGAAAAAAATCCGTCGCCTGTTTCCACAGCGAGCATCCAATATTTGATCACAATACTTATATATATACACACACACATACAAATATATATATATATATATATATATATATATATATATATATATATATATATATATATATATATATATATATATATATATTCACAGTGCATTTATATTTTTCCAGAAACAACACGTAAGAGACGTAAGTATTACTAACAGCCGAAAATCAGACCTCACAAAAGTTCTAGTATATGATTACTGTAAGCTGGTAATACTGATGCGATATATCGAGTTTTGCATTTCAAATAGTAGCAACACATTTTAGTTCTTTACAAGACATACAGTGGTTGCAATTATATGTAAAAGACCCAGAAACACTAACACGTATATGCAAAAACATAAGCATTGGTGCACTCAAACATAGATAAATACACGCTCCTAAAATCACACAAAGCATGTACACACACACACAAACACACACACATACACACACACACATATACACACATACACACATATATGTATAGACACACAAAGGCATTGAGACCTCCACATACTCAAGTAATCTGTTCCCGATCCTTGGACGCATACCAAACAGGGCTCATACATATCCTGGCACACGCATAACATTCTTATATCTTGGAAAATATTAAACCGAACAAAAAGTTGGTCAGTAAGCTCCACAATATAATAAACACAAACTAAATACAAACAGCACAGACACAAATCAAGCAAAACCACACGAATATACGAAATCAGTTAACTGACGTATCCCGAAGCAGCCACGTTGATGTATTGTCAGTGGAATGAAGGGACAGCATGAGGTCTGACAATATATAGCAGGGGAATGTCAAGGGAAAAACTGAAATTTTTTTAATGAAACAATGTTGGCAGTTCAATCCCTCTATTGTGAGGATTGCTAAAGTTTAAAAAAAAAAAAAAAGCAATTTCCAAAGGACTTGCTGGCTCTGTCGCCGGATTGGATAATTTATTGGCTGCCACCTTTATGTCGTGGACACTTTGAACATTTTGGGAGCTGAAGTGCAACTGTACCGGCACATCAAATGATGTTGCCTGAATCTGGCAACCAGTCGTAGACCCGTTTTACCGTTGCATTTCATGTCGCAACTTTTGCAGATGAGGGCGTAAATGACATTGCGGTTCGTGCAATAGAATGCTTCACTTATGCGGAAGGTGGTATTTGGGAATTCCAAACTTGTCCCCTGAACCACATACGGGCAAGTCTTGCATAGAAGAGACCGTGCCTAAGTTAGACTCAGAGACAGGGAGTAACCGACACTTGACTAGAATGTCTTTGGGTTTACGGTACTGTCTGTAGGCCTCTAGAGGAAGTTAAGAGAAAATCGTGCAGTGACAGGGTCAGATCTAAGGATAAAAAGATGCCTTGGAAAATTATTTTTAGCACTGATGGTGTGAGGGTGGTAGGTAAGTATGAGGATAGATCTGTTGTGAGGGTGGTAGGTAAGTGTGAGGATAGGTCTGTTGTGAGGGTGGTAGGTAAGTGTAAGGATAGGTCTGTTGTGAGGGTGGTAGGTAAGTATGAGGATAGGTCTGTTGTGAGGGTAGTAGGTAAGTATGAGGATAGGTCTGTTGTGAGGGTGGTAGGTAAGTGTGAGGATAGGTCTGTTGTGAGGGTGGTAGGTAAGTGTGAGGATAGGTCTGTTGTGAGGGTAGTAGGTAAGTGTGAGGATAGATCTGTTGTGAGGGTGGTAGGTAAGTGTGAGGATAGATCTGTTGTGAGGGTGGTAGGTAAGTGTGAGGATAGATCTGTTGTGAGGGTGGTAGGTAAGTATGAGGATAGGTCTGTTGTGAGGGTAGTAGGTAAGTATGAGGATAGGTCTGTTGTGAGGGTGGTAGGTAAGTGTGAGGATAGATCTGTTGTGAGGGTGGTAGGTAAGTGTGAGGATAGGTCTGTTGTGAGGGTGGTAGGTAAGTATGAGGATAGGTCTGTTGTGAGGGTAGTAGGTAAGTATGAGGATAGATCTGTTGTGAGGGTGGTAGGTAAGTGTGAGGATAGATCTGTTGTGAGGGTAGTAGGTAAGTATGAGGATAGATCTGTTGTGAGGGTAGTAGGTAAGTATGAGGATAGGTCTGTTGTGAGGGTGGTAGGTAAGTATGAGGATAGGTCTGTTGTGAGGGTAGTAGGTAAGTATGAGGATAGATCTGTTGTGAGGGTGGTAGGTAAGTATGAGGATAGATCTGTTGTGAGGGTAGTAGGTAAGTATGAGGATAGATCTGTTGTGAGGGTGGTAGGTAAGTGTGAGGATAGGTCTGTTGTGAGGGTGGTAGGTAAGTGTGAGGATAGATCTGTTGTGAGGGTGGTAGGTAAGTGTGAGGATAGGTCTGTTGTGAGGATGGTAGGTAAGTATGATGATAGGTCTGTTGTGAGGGTAGTAGGTAAGTATGAGGATAGGTGTGTTGTGAGGGTGGTAGGTAAGTGTGAGGATAGGTCTGTTGTGAGGGTGGTAGGTAAGTGTGAGGATAGGTCTGTTGTGAGGGTGGTAGGTAAGTGTGAGGATAGGTCTGTTGTGAGGGTGGTAGGTAAGTGTGAGGATAGGTCTGTTGTGAGGGTGGTAGGTAAGTATGAGGATAGGTCTGTTGTGAGGGTGGTAGGTAAGTGTGAGGATAGGTCTGTTGTGAGGGTGGTAGGTAAATATGAGGATAGGTCTGTTGTGAGGGTGGTAGGTAAGTATGAGGATAGGTCTGTTGTGAGGGTAGTAGGTAAGTATGAGGATAGGTCTGTTGTTAGGGTGGTAGGTAAGTATGAGGATAGGTCTGTTGTTAGGGTGGTAGGTTGCCCGGCTCTCTAGCGAAGTTGGTTAAACCTGACTTTCGCGGCGGCCGGGTGACGAACTCCTTGTGGTCCGGGTTCACTCCCGGGGGTAGGCAGAAAAGCCACATTTCTCCCAGAGTAACGGTACCTATAATGGAATCAATGCCGAAGGGTTGCGATATCCATAGTACCGAGCCAAAGGGTTTACAACTCATGGTTTCTGGATACGTTAAAAAATAAAAAAAATAGGGTGGTAGGTAAGTGTGAGGATAGATCTGTTGTGAGGGTGGTAGGTAAGTGTGAGGATATGTCTGTTGTGAGGGTGGTAGGTAAGTGTGAGGATAGGTCTGTTGCGAGGGTGGTAGGTAAGTATGAGGCTAGGTCTGTTGTGGTGACGTTTAGGCTGAGAAACAAAAGCCTCAGCTCGATGAAAGGTGGCAGATAAGACATGTTCAGTTAGCTCCCAAAGCCAGAAGAAGTCCCAGCATTTCTAGGCTCTTGTTTAGAAAGTCGTCGTTCTCCTGGCACAGTCTGCGGAGGCCTAGAAGCTGGGAGAAAGGAATGGAGTCGTCGCAGAAAGAGGGATAAGAGGACGTGAAGAGAAGAAAAGCGTATGAATCAGTACGCTTATAGTACACAGAGGTGCTGAGGCCTTCAGAATCCAAGGCGACAGTGAGGTCGAGAAAATGCACAGACGATGGTGAAATCCTGATTGTGTATCGGATGCTGGGGAGAAAGCTGGAAAAGGAATGAAGTCCTGCAGTTCAGTTAGGGGCAGTCATCGAAACATCTTCTGTAGAGCTCGGGGAACCTACCGGTGTATGCATGACCTATTATCTGCTCGAGGTTGCCCATAAAGAGGCAGGCATAGCTAGGTCCCATCTTGGTGCCCACAGCGACTCTGCTGATCTGGTTGAAATAGTGGCCAATAAACTCGAAAGAGTTAGAGAGCAGAAGTATCAAATGGTCAGTGGCTATAGCAGGGCTGACTCTGTGATCTAGAAAGAACCGCCAAGCCTGGAGGCCATCTGAGTATGGAATAGACGTGTAGAGAGAGGTAACATCCAAGGTGAAGACGTGGTACCTGGAAGAAGAAGTGAACCGGATCGATTGAAAGACAGATAGAATGGTCGGTGCCTTTGAAACAAGACGAGAGACAAACGACCAGGGGTTGCAATATACGATCGAGGAACTCGAATATGGCCTCTGTGGGACACGCACAGGCGGACACGATCAATCTGCTTGGGTTGTCATGTTTACATTCTTGAGAAGTAGAAAGAGACCGGGCTTTCGCAGACATATGTACTCGACAAATATAAAACTAGTCCTGGCAGTTATAAGATGAAGATTGTGATGGCACTTTTTACTATTACGTTGGTCCCCTTTCTGCACATAAAACGTTTCACCAGACTACTACTGCCCCTTACTTATCCGCAGGTCTAATAACAATATTATCGTGACGTTTAAATTGTATGAGTGCCTGAAACTACTGAGGCGAGAGGTTAGAGTGCGTGAGAGGTTTAAATTTCAATTTATTAACCTCAAACAACAAACATTTTCACTTGTTAACAGGTGTATACCATGCTAAACTTGTACCAAAGCAAACATAAAATTAGGTAGCACTGTATTTT